CCGGATTGTTTGCGCCGCTCCCCCCGAGCCGCCGTCCGCGCCGCCTCCAGCCCCGCTCCGCGCGCCCTCGTTACCTCAGAATTTCACTTCAGCACTGCGCCGCCTCTGAGTCTGGGTATAATATTCTCTTTACTCCTAGTTGTAGAATTTCCACTCAGCCAGCCCTCCTGTGGCTCTGGACGTTGACCTTTCCCTGGATCAAGCTTAATTTGACTTGGTTGTTCCAGGCGGCAATCTCTGGTGTTAACCTATGCCGCCATCTTCGGTTCTCCTTTGGTAAAATTCTTAATGGATCTATTATTAATTTTTATTAATTATAAAAGTATTATGTGCTTATTATAAAGTCAAAGAAAATCAAGATCTCTTCTCCATCCCACCTTCCTACAGTGACAACAGTTGACCATGTGGTTGATGCGTCCACGCCTTTCTTCATATTCAGGTGCGTGTTCACACATTCACATATATCTTGCATGGGGTTTATAAGGACGGGTTGAATCAGATGCATTATTTTCCCACTTGCTTTCCTAGTCAATGATGTGTCCACATTGACAGTGACAAGTCCTTAACAACTGAATACGTAATATTCCAGAGTGTGGACATCCTTCAGCTTTATTCAAGATTATTCCACTTATGAATAATCAAGTTCCTCCGATGGGATGCATCCAAACAATGCTGCAGTACACACGTCTACAGGCACACCCAGGTCATTCTGGTCTGTTATTTCTGTAGCGCAGATTCCCAAAACAACACACTGCTGAGTCAAAGGGTGTGAGCACTGACATATAGGAGATATTTAACACGTTAAGCGCCCAGCCTGTTTTGTCTTCCGGACAAAAAGTATAGTGTCAGTCACTGGTGACTGACTGGGCGGTTAACGTGTTAAAGGTTACTTCCCCCAAAATATTATAATCCTATATAATAAAAGCCTAATATGCAAATTGTCCCCTCGACCAGAATTTCACTGGGAGTTCGACCCCTCGACCAGTTGCTATGATGCGCACTGACCACCAGTGGGCAGATGCTCCAACCAATAGGCTAGCTTGCTGCAGGCGCTGGATTGGAAAGTGAGGTGTGAGGTGAGAACCATCAGAAAGCTCCCAGGGTTTGGCCCGAGCCCTGGGCAGAGGCGGGCAGGAGCCAGAAGGGGCTGGTTGGTGCGGGAGGCTGCTACACATGATCTGAGAGGCCTGATCTGAGAGCTGTGGACTGCGCAGCCCTTTGCAGCCTGTGGCATTCTCAGTATGCAATTTATAATCTTCAGAGCTGCTTCTTTTTATTAAGTTTCACTAACTACTGC